ACATACTTTTCTTTCTTTCTTTCTTTTTCTTTCCTCTCTCTTTCTTTTCTTCCTTCCTTCCCTCCCTCCTTCCCTCGCTCCCTCCCTCCCTCTCTCTCTCTTTCTTTCTTTCTTTCTTTTTCTTTCCTCTCTCTTTCTTTTCTTCCTTCCTTCCTTCCCTCCCTCCTTCCCTCCCTCCCTCCCTCCCTCTCTCTCTCTCTCTTTCTTTCTTTCATTCTTTCTTTCTTTCTCTGTGTGCAAGTGCCACAGTGCAGGTGTGGAGGTTAGAGGACAACTTGTGGGAGTTGGTTCTCGCTTTCCTCCATGTGGGTCTTGGGATGGAACTCAGGTTGTCAGGCTTGGTGGCAAACACCTTTACCCACTGAGCCATCTCGCCAGCCCTGGGGAGCTCCGTTTAAAGTAATGTTCCTCCTTATCCTCTTAGTTTTTTTTTCTCTCTAAAATCATTTTCTGGGACTGGAGAGATGGCTCAGCAGTTAAGAGTGGGTAGGTCAGAGGGCAACCTTTGGGAGTCAGTTCTCTCCTTCCACCATGGGAGTCTGGCAGTCCGGGGCATCAAACTTGGGTCATCAGGCTTAGCAGCAAGCACCTTTACTTGCTGAGTCATCTTGCTTGTCTCTACTTTTTTGAGACAGGGTCTCTCATTGACCTGGGACTCACTAAGAAGACTAGGCTGGATAGCCAGCAAGCCCCAGAAATCTGCCTGTCTACCCTTCTCAGTACTGGGATTACAGGCATGCCACCATGCCTTGGTTTTGTTGTTGTTGTTGTTGTTGTTGTTGTTGTTGTTGTTTGTTTTGTTTTTAATGTGAGTTCTGGGGATCGAACTCAGAACTCAAGTCCTTATGCTTGTATTACAAGCACTTTACCAACTGACTTATTTCCCCTCCTGAGGTGTCAGTATTTTAACTTTGTAGCACCTAGGGGCAGTTTCTAAAATCCAAATAGACAGGAAGGTGTAAAAAAGAAAGACACTTGGCATGGTACATGGAAAACAACATGGATAGTACATTAATATGGATAAGCAGGTTGGATAAACAATTATTTTCATATGGGACAGTAAGAGTTGGGCATGGTGGTACACACCTGTGATCCCAGAACTTGGAAGAAGAGCTCAAGTTCTAGACCAACCTGGGCTATATATTGCGTTCCAGACTAGCTTGGGCTATGCAGTGAGATCCCATTTCAAAAATCCAAGGACTGGAGACAATGTGATGGCTTGGTGGGTAAAGACACTTGCCACCAGGCTTGATGACCTGAGTTCCTGGAACTCATATGGGGAAGATGAGAACCAACTGTACAGGTTGACCCCCCCCACACTCCTTTTTTGGTGAGCACAGTGTCTTGACCTGCCTTGGCTTCCATGTCTCTACCTCCAGCCTCTTACTTTGTCACTTGTTTTACTTTGGCCCCAGCCATGTTATTTCCTAACTCACGCTGTGCTGTAATTTGCATTTCTAATCTGTGTTTATCCTGACTGAGCCATGTGCTTTTTCTTACCAGTATTTTTGTTTTGCTTTGTTTTGTTTTTCTTAATCATTATTTGTGGCACCACTCCCTCACTGTGACTGATGTCATTCTAGAGTGGTTGTCCAGCTGTATGATGACCACCTCCTGGACTTGTTGTCAGAGAATGTGTCCCTCTGTGCTGCTGCTGCTGCTGCTGCTGCTGCTGTGTGTGTGTGTGTGTGTGTGTGTGTGTGTGTGTGTGTATGTTGGGGGCGTGTATCTGCAGAGGCCTGAGGATGTCAGTGTCCTGTTCTATCCCTTTCTGTTGTGTTCTCTTGAGACAGGGCATTTCACTGAATATGGAGCTTGATGTTTATGCTAGGCTGGCTGGCCAGTGAGTTCCCAGCATCTGCCTGTCTCTACTCCCAATGTTGGGGTTACAATCATTCACAGCCATGCACAGCTTTTATGTAGGTGCTGCAGGTTCAAACTCAAGTCCTCATGCTTGTGCAGCAAGCGCTCCTACCTGCTGAGCCATTTCCCTAGACACTGACCTGATCTTTTCTTTTTGAAAGATTTTGTTTTTATTTTAAATTACATACGTGTGTGTGTGTGTGTGTGTGTGTGTGTGTGTGTGTCTGTGTGTGTGTGTCTGTGTGTGTATATGAGTGCAATGTCAGTGGAGGCCAGAAGAAGCATCAGATCCTCTGGAGTTGGAGTTACAGGCAGTTGTGAGCAGCCATGTGGGTGCTAGGAATTGAACCTTGGTCCTATGCAAGAGCAGCCAGTGCCCTTAACCCTTGAGCCCTCTCTCCAGCCCTGTACTGACCTCTGAAAGGAAGAGTTTAGCTGTTTTCCTTC